TTTTTTTTTGCACTAGGGATTGAAACCAGGGGTGCTTTATCACTAAGCCACATTCACAGCCCTTTTTATATTTTATTTAGAGACAAGGTCCCATTGAGTTGCTTAGTGCCTCACTAAGTTGCTGAGGCTGGCTTTGAACTCGCGATCCCCCTGATTCAGCCTCCCAAGGCCTTTAGCACTTACTAGAGACACAGAAACATTCCTTCCTTTGTGACCACAAAACTGTCTTCAGATAAAACAAGCATTCCCCAGGGGATCAAAAGCATACTTGATTGAGGACGACTGCTTTAAGCTACTACTGACTCATAGAATCTATGACAGTAGTGAATCAATCTATTTATTTGTCTTCTAAATCTCAATAATTTTAATATAAAAGTATTAGACTTATTCTAAAGAAATTTACATTGTAACACAGCAAATAGTTTTTGTTAAGTCTTTCAGTGTTAATTAATTCATGCTTTTATAGATATTCACATAATTTCTCAATACTGATTGATCACAAATTCAGCGTGTCAACTGAACTCTTCATTCATCCTGGTAGTATTTCATTATATTACCTTCAATTTTCTGTGTAGGCAGTCATGTCATTGGTAGGTAATGATGGCAGCTTTGTTTCCTTTTTTACAAGCTTTTCATCAGTTGTTTGTTGTGTGTATATGTGTATGTGTGTGTGTTTGTAATTGGCATGTGATGAGCTTTTGTGCACTCTACAATGAATGGTTGCAATATCAATTTTCTTAACTTTAGTTTTGAAATACTCTTGCCTGTTTCACTTACTGATTCTCCCAAGTCGTGTTAAAATCTTCCAGTATTTTGAATAATTTTTCTATTTCTCTTTGCTTCCTTGCTAACTCTTTCTTGATACACTTTCTTTTTTCTTGATATACTTCTGAAGGTGCATATGAGACTTGTTGGAGCATCTCATGAACGAATCAGCATCATATAGGGTCCAACTTTATCCCCAACGGTGTGGTTATCTTTGTCTGACCTAATACAGCTACACCTGCTTCCTTTTGATTTGTATTTACCTGGTAAAAATGTCTCACCCCTTTACCTTCAATTTTACTGGGTGCTTATGTTCTCTTCTGTGAACAAGCTATGGTTTCGTTAAAAAATATAATATGATAATGCCTAATGTCTGACTTCAAAATGGACAGAGTGGCCTCACATTCACTGGGGTTAGTTGCACATCTGGATCTGTTTAAACTATCTTATGTTTTGCTTTCTATCTACCCTGAATAATAATTAAACAAAAGTCCTAAGACAAAAATATAAAATAATAATAATAAATATAAAACAATATTATATACAGCTACAGGGATCATCCTAACTAGCAAAATAACTTATGGATATTTGGAGAAGTTGAATTCTAAGATGTATGTATATTTCAGAGAATGTATAAAAGACTCTTGAACAATGTTTACTATAAATTTATACCTATAGATTGACTTGGAGCATAGCTTAACATTTTACATTATTAGAGTGCCTTTTA